TAGGACCGCTACGGGTCGGAACCTTAACAACAACAGTGCCTAGAATACTGATCTTTATTTGTTCCATTTCTTTATTGACAGTTACCTAGAGTCATACTTCATACATTCTATGATCTAATTATTAATGGATGTTTACAGCTGTTTCTCCTCATTTTGAGTTGTGCCCCATAAGCAAATGAAGGTTCTGAAAGCTTTACTCCATTCACAATTAAGGAAGCAATTCAATATTTTAGTGCTGACAGTGTTCCACTGCTATTCATAAGGCTTTTAGTGATTAAACATTCAGAAGTAGTCCACATCGCCTTCTTCCTAGTCTTAGTCTGGAAGCTCAGTCAAAACCTGTTCACCATGGGAGACCCTTCTGATATTTAAAATACTGTGGCATAGCTTCTGGTATCACAGCAGCACACAAGCTACCACAGTACGACAACCTAACAAATGATTGGTGGATTTTGCCCTTGATCCACATGACCTGTGCACAACAGAACACTGCCCAGTCCTGTGCAGTCCTCACCGTCATTACACTTGAGGTCATTGCTGCTGCCACTCTGCCAATTCATGTCTTTGGGGGTCTTCCTCTGTTTTGCATATCCTCACTTTACCAAGCATGATGTCTTTCTTTAGGGACTGGTTTCTCCTGATAATATGTTTGAATTATGAGAGACAAAATCCCACTATCCAGGCTTCTAAAGAGCACCCTTGCCATACTTCTTTCACCACAGATTTGTTTTTCTTTTGGCATTCTATGACACTTTTAATATTCTTCTCCAACACCATAATTCAAGTGCATCAATTCGTCTACAGTTTTCCTTATTTGTTGTCCAACTCTCACATGCATATGAGGTTATTGAAAATAGCATGGCTTGGGTCTAGCACATTTTAGTCTTCAAACTGAAATCTTTGCTCTTGGACAATTTAAAGAGGTCTTGTGAAGCAGGTTTGTGTAATGCAATATGTCTTTTGATTTCTTGACTGCTGCTTCCATGAGTGTAGACAGTGGATCCAAGCAAAATGAAGTGTTTGACAACTTCAGTCTTATCTCCATTTATCATAATGTTATTATTAGTCCAGTTTAGAGAATTTTTGTCTTCTTTATTTTGAGAAGCAGCCCATACTTAAGTCTATGGTCTTTGATCTTTATCAGTATTTTAAGTCCTCTTTGCTTTTATCCAACAAGTTTACATCATGTGCACATCACAGGTTGTTAATGAGTCTTCCTCCAATCCTGATGCCATGTTCTTCTTCATATAATCCACGGAGTCCTTCAAGTTCACAACCTGAGGCTTGAAATTATTTCTTCAAATTTTTTAGCTTGAGAAATGCTGAGTGTCTTCTTCCCTTTTTTGGTTTTATAACTCCGCATCTTTGCACATTTCGTTTTAATACTTTGGTTTGTCTTTTGAAATTTTCTGTTCAGGTCTTTTACTTCCTAATTTATTCTATTCAGGTCTTTTCTTTCTTTCCTGTCTTTTTAATGACCTTTTGCTTTCTTCGTGTAAGATATTCTTGATGTCTTTAGTGTCTAACATACCAAATCTGTTCTTGAGATGGTTTTTAAATTCCAGTAAGGTATACTCAGATTATATTTTGACTCTTGTGGACTCATTTCAAGGTTTTCGGCTCATCCTGAAATTACATATGAATACTTAATGGTGTGTTCCATAGTTGACTGTTGGTTTTGTTTTGGCTGATTTAACATCTTTTCCCACAAATATAGTCAGTTTGATTCCTATAGATTCCATCTATTTGGTTATTGTGTGTAATTGCTATTTATATTGTTGAAAAAAGTATTTGCATTGGATAATGTTGATCTTGTAAAATTTTATCATGCAATATATAGTATCATTTCTATCACCAAGACTGTGTTTTCCAACTATTGATCATTCCTCTTTGCTTCAACTTTTACATTCCAGTTGCCAGTAATTATCAGTGTATCTTGATTGTATGTGTTATCAATTTCAATTTTCTGAGGAAATTGGTAGAAGTCTTCAGTTTCATCATTAGTAGCTTTAGTGGTTGGAGTGTAAATTTTAATAATAGTGGTATTAACTGGTCTTTCTTGTAAGCATATGGATATTCTCCTATCTTCAGTGGTATTTTACTTCAATATATATCTTGAAATGCTCTTTTTGACGATGAATGCAACATAACATTTCTTTAGTTTCTCATTCCTGGCTTAGTAAACCATGTGTTGTTGTTAAGTGCTCTTGAGTCAGTTTTGACTCAAAGTGATGCTGTATAGGGTTTCTGAGACTGTAGATCTTTATGAGGGCAGAAAGCTGTATTGTTCTTCCACAGGACGACTAGTGTTCTTGAACCTCCAACCTTGTGGTTAACAGTCCTGTGTTAATCTTCAAAGCTACCACAATCTATAGTAAATTATGTTGTTGTCGTCATTAGATACCATTGAGTTGGCACTAACTCATAGTGACAGAATGAAACACTGCCCATTCCTGTGCCACCCTCACAATCTTTGCTACATTTGAACCCATTGCTGCTGCCACTGTGCCAATCCATCTCATTGAGGGGTTTTCCTCTTTTTCTTCGACCCTCCACTTTACCAAACATGATATCTTTCCCCAGGGACTGGTCCCTCCTTATATTTCTGAAGTATGAGAGATGAAGTCTAACAATCCTGGCTTCCAAGGAGCATTCTGGCTATACTTCTTCCAACACAGATTGGTTTGCTTTTTTGGCAGTCCATGGTACTTTTAATATTCTCCTCCACCACCATAATTCAGTACATCAATTCTTCTATGGTCTTCCTTATTCACTGTCTAGCTTCATACATATGAGGTTATTGATGTCATGTAGTGTGTAAGGCACACCTTAGTCCTCAAACTGATGTATTTGCTGTTGAACACTTTAAAGAGGTCTGTGCAACAGATTTGCCTAATGCAATACATCATGTTATTTCTTGACTGCTGCTTCCGTAGGTGTTGATGGTTGATCTGTACAAAATGAAGTCTTTGACAATTTCAATATTTTCTCCATTTATATTGATATTGTTTATTGAATCAGTAGTGAGGATTTCTGTGTTCTGTACATTGAGGTGCAACCCATACTGAAGGCTCTAGTCTTTGATCTTCATCAGTAAGTATTTCAAGGAAGTAAACTATATGACTGTGCAATTCAAACTGGCCAATTCCTATCCGTTTCAGCTCACTTATGCTTAGGATACTGATCTTTATGCATTCCATTTCATTTTTGACAACTTCCAGTTTTCTTAGATTCATGCTTTATGCATAATCCATGTTCTCATTATTAATGGATATTGTAGCTGTTTCTTCTCATATTGAATTGTGCCCCATCAGCAAATGAAGGTCCGAAAGCTTTGCTCCATCCATGTCTTTAAGGTCAATTCTAGTTTGAAGAGACAGCTCTTGCCCAGTTCTATTGTGAGTATCTTCCAACCTGAGATGCTCATCTTCCGGCACTATATCTGACAATGGACTGCTGTCTTTTATAAGGTTTTCAGTGACTAACCATTCAGAAATGATCTGCCTCTCTTTCTTCTTAGTCTGTTTTAGTCTAGTAGTTCCACTGAAACCTATCCACCATTGGTGACCCTGCTGGTATTTAAATTATATATCTTCCAGCAACACACAAGCCACCACACTATGACAAAGTTACAGATGGGTGGTAGAGTTCCCATGTTGTTGCTATTGTAATATGCCATCAAGTTGGTTCCTACTCAAAGCAACCCTGTATAGGACTTCCAAGTAGTGGCTGATGAGTTTGATCCACCAACCTTTCTCTTAACTGTCCAGTGTTTATAGTACAGCAGCACACCAGGACTCTGGAGTCCACATGCAGGATTGCTTTAGTGTTAGGATTCCCAATTAATAATCCTTTTGAGAATCCAATTGAAATTACAACCCCTGACTCACACACTCCAAAAATCACAGTCACATCTACATAGATAAATTTATATACTATTTTGGATGGCTCATAGATCCCTATGTTAAAAACTTATGGTTTAGATTCTGGTATAAACTAACTAGAGACAACATGATATAATAGAAAAATATGCTATACAAATTAACTTTTGATTGAGTTTTAGCTCTGATTCTACCACTGATAATGTGGTGGCATTTTGCAGGTTATTTAACCTTTCTTTACCTGTTAATTCAAGGAGCCCTGGAGGCATAGTAGTTACAGTGTTTGGCTGTTAACCAAAGGGTCTGTGGTTTGAACCCACCAGCTGCTCTTCTGGGAAAAGATATGTCAGTTTCATTACAAGATTTACTGCTTTGGAAACCCTATGGAACAGTTCTGCTCTGTCCTGTAGGGTTAATAGGAGTTGGATTCGACTCAGTGGCAGTGGGTTTGGTTTTGGTTTTACCTGTTTTATCATCTGTAAAGTGAAGTTATTGGGTAACCTTAAATTAATTCGTATATGCAACATACTTAGAATGGTGCTTGGTACGTAGTCATAGTATGCTTCTCAGTTCCTACTGTTTATTTCTACTATCTCGTAGAAGAGTTCTGAATTTTGCTGATGTCCCTTTCTTTTAATTAATTTTCTCTCTTAAACCTGAGTAACAATCAACTTATTCTGCTCTCCTTTAAAGCAAGTAGTAAGGTATGGCCTGACCTTTTGATACCTCTGTGTGACAGTTGTAAATGAGGTACTTAAATCTGTGGTGTTACTGCAGTGCTATAATTGGAAATTCTGAACCAGAGAAAATACATGCCTGTCAGTGTGTATAAGTAACTGGGAAACAAAGAACACTGAGAAAAGTCTCCTTAAATATGCAATATTAGTATACTGGACTTGTTAAAGCATGTGAAACTTCCCTATATTATAGTTGCTAAGAATTATATTATTTTCCAAGGTCAGATTGTCTTTTTGAAAATCCATTGTTCTTAATGTATCAATACATGTTCCTTTAATACCTGTGTCAGTAGCAAACAGATTGTGTTTAAAATTTGTAACTTTCAGGTATTACTGGGTAAGCCAAACATCTTTGTTTTCTTTTCTTTTTCATTCTAATTAGGGAAGAAGACAAAAACATATTCGATTACTGCAGGGAAAACAACATTGACCATATAACCAAGGCCATTAAGTCAAAACATGTGGATGTGAATATGAAAGATGAAGAGGTATGAAAAACATGCCTTATACTCTGTTGTTGTGTCCCATAGTCTGCTTCTAAATGAATGATGTACAACTCAAAGTACTTTACATTGTTGTTGTTGCTAACTGCTGTCAGGCTGGTTCTGAATCATAGCTATACTCGATATAAGGTTTTTGAAGAGCAGCTAGTGAGTTTGAAACACCAATTTTGTGATTCAAACTGACCTTACAGTCCAGCGCTTTATCCCACACCACCATACCAGTACTGTATTTGTTGTTGTTGTTAAGTGCCGTCGAGTCGCTTCTTACCCATAGGGACCTTGTGTAGAGTTTCTGAGGAATGACTGGTGAGCTTGAACTGCTGACCTTCTGGTTCAAATGACTTTGCAGTCCAGCGCATTAACCCACAGCACTATACCAGGACCTAGTTAAGAGCAAATAAGAATATCTAAATGAAATGGTTCCCTAGTTAAGCTGTTTTCTTTGTTTGTGTCTAACGTATTTCTATTGATGGAATGAAAGTTGCTAGCAGAACTTTCTAACAGTAATTTCCATTTGTTTATGATAAAATGTAAAACAGTTAACTTAGTAGTAGGATCATTGCTCTTAGGTACCATGAATTGGGTTCCAATGTTTAGCAACCCTGTGCTCAACAGAACAAAACATTGTTCGTCCTGTGTCATCCTCACAACTGTTGCCATGCTTGAGCCCACTGCTGCTACCACTATGTCAATCCATCTCCTTGGGAGTCTTCCTCTTTCTCACTGACCCTCCACTTTTCCAAGCATGGTATCCTTCTCCAGGGACTGGTCCCTCCTAATAACATGCCCAAAGAGTGAGAGATGGAGTCTCACCTTCCTGGATGTAAGGCACATTCTGACTGTACTTCTTCCGAAGCAGATTTGTTTTTTCTTTTGGCAGTCAATGATGCTTTCAGTATTCTTTGCCAGCGCCATAATTCAAACACACGGATTCTATGGTCTTCCTTTTTCATTGTCCAACTTTCATATGCATATGAGGCTATTGAAAATAAGATGGCTTGGGTCAGGGCACTTTAGCCCTCAAACCAACATCTTTGTTCTTTAACACTTGGAAGAAGTTTTTTTAAGCAGATTTACTTAACGCAATGTCATTGGGTTAAAAAATTTTTTTCTTAAATTTTTTTATAGTTGTGTAATTTATTAGGGGGAGTTGTTGTTGTTGAGTGCCGTATAGTCAGCTCTGACTGATAACGACCTTGTACAGGGTTTCCAAGGAGCAACTGGTGGGTTTGAACTTCCAACCTTGTGGTTTGCCGTCCAGTGCTGATCCTATAGCACCACACTAGGAGTCCATTAGGGAGGGTGAAAAATTACAATTCGGGATCAGGAAGCATGTAGGCAAAGTCTCTTTTTCAGTGCAGGCCAGCACTCTCAGTTCCTCTTGAAGACAGGCTCCTCTGGCCCCCTGTGCACAAATTCCTCTCAACCCCTTCAGGACACAGGCTTTTTCTCTTGGCTCTTGCCTTGCTCTGGCAAGTGTTGCAAAGCTCTTTCAGCTTTGTCAACATGCCCAGAGTCAGCAAGCCTCCTGTTGGAAGACACCCAGTTTATTTTGTTTTTTGAAACTTTTTATTATGAATTGAGTAAAGGTTTACAGAGCAGATCATCAGTTGTATATTCAACAGATCATATACTTGCTTCATTACATTGACTACAGCCCCCTCCACCTTTGTTCATTTTAACTTTCACGTTTCTCCCACTACCATCATCTTTCCTCTGCCAACCTCCTTCTTGTATATTGCATGCTCCTGTGTTAACATATGTCTTACCCTCTAGCCTGTGAATAATTTCCTCTCCATCCATAACCATCATAGGATGTTTCTTTTTTCAAAAAAATCTTTTCTTAACTTTTCACAACAGTAGTCTAATACAATATTTGCTGTTTTGTGATTGACTAATTTCACTCAGCATAATTTCTTCCAGGTTCGTCCATGTTAATGTGGTGTTTTTCAGATTTATCATTATTCTTCAACATTGTACATTGTGTGTATGTACCAAAGTTTGTTTAACCATTCTTCTGTTGATAGGTACTTAGGTTTTCTGCATCTTTTTGATGTGTCTCTTGTAGACAGCATATAGAAGAATCCTGGTTTTTATCCACTCATCTACTCTCTGACTCTCAACTGGTACATTTAATCTGTTTATATTGGTATAATTATTGATAGATATGAATTGATTCTTTTAAATTATTTTTCAGTTCATTCTATTATGTTTTCTGCCCCTGCATCTGCTGTCATTTTGCTGTGGGGTTTTTTTGTTTTTTGTTTTTTGTTTTGCCATCCTCTTGATTTCATTGTTCTGCAGAATTTTCTGTGTTGAGTTCATTTTGCTTGCGGTTTTCTTTTCATTTTCATTTTTGTTCTGTTATGTTTAACAAATCTTTCTGATTTTTCTGTTTTTTATTTTGATGCAAAAGTGTATTCATTTCTTTGAAGTTACGATGTAATTTATTAATTCCACCCAACACTTAAAACAGCTTGTTTTATCTTGAAATCTACTTGACTTCCTCACCATTTGGAAGTTCTGTATATACACTAATCCCTTTTTTTGCTTTGTAGTTGACTTCATTATAGATTGATATCTGTGGTTTGTTTTACTTTAAATGCTTCTATATCTTGGTTGCATTCTGGGTGGTATTGTCATGTATGTTAATCTAAAGTTGATACTAGACTGCTAACCACAAGGTTGGTGGATCAAACCTACCAGCCGCTCTTTAGAAACCCTGTCACTATGAGTCAGAACTGACTCGATGCCACTTAACAACAACAACAACAAAATTGTTGGGTTTTCAGTACAAAACACACCATTTATTATTTTCTGTAAAGTTGGTCTGGTTATTACAAATTCCTTTAATTTGTTTATCTGAAAATGTCCTAATTTGCTGTCATATTTGAGGGATAGCTTTGCTGGTTATGATTTTCGATGGGCAATTTTTTCTTTCGGAGTTTTATATATGTTATCCCAAACGCTTTTTCCCTGCATGGTTTCTGCTGAGAAATGACAGCTTACTTTTACTGGTTCTCCTGTGTAGGTGACTTACCATTTTTCCCAAGCTGCTCTCAGGATTCTTTCCTTGTTTTGATTTTGGTAAGTTTGATTATGATGTATGTCTTGATTTTATTTTGGGATTTATCTTGTTTGAGATTCATTCAATTTTGTGTATGCATATTTTCTCATCTTTTGGGATGCTAGGGAGGTTTTCTTCCAACAACTCTTGAACAGTTTTCTCTGTGCTTTCTGATATTTTCTACTTTTAGCTAAGATGCATCTAATATCAGCAATGATAGCCTTTGTCCATGTCCTCTTTTGAATCTGGCTTGAATTTCTGGTAGCTCCATGACAATGTGCTGCTGCAGCCATTTTTGTATTGTCTTCTGAAAAATTTTTACTTGCATATGGTATTAATGATATTATTAATGATTTTCACATTATCTTGGGTTACCTTTCTTTGGAATGGGCACAAATATGGATCTCTTCCAGTTGGTTGGTCAGTTAGCTGCCTTCCAGATTTCTTGACATAGACAAGTGAGCACCTCCAGTGCTGAGTCAGTTTGTTGAAACATTTCAATTTATATTTCATCAATTCCTTGTTTTCCTCTAATGCCTTCAGTGCAACTTGGACTTCTTCCTTATATATCATCAGTTCTTGATCATGTGTTACCTCTTGAAATAGTTGAACATCATCCAGTTCTTTTTGGTACAGTGACTCTGCATTCCTTCCATCTTCTTTTGTTGGTTCCTGCATCATTCAGTATTTTACCCATAGAATCTTTCAATATTGCAACTCAAGACTTGAACTTTTTCTTCAATTCTTTCAGCTTGAAAAATGCTGATCATGTTCTTTTTGTTTTTCTAACGCCGGGTCTTTGCAAATTTCATTATACTGCTTGACCTTGCCTTCTCAAACTGCCCTTTACATTTTTCTGTTTAATTCTTTTCATTCATCATTTCTTCCAGTTGCTTTAACTTCTCTATGCTCCAGAGCATGTTTCAGCATCTCTGCTGGGTTCTGCTAGCCTTAGTTGGTCTCAGCTCATCTTAATTTCATGTGTTTTTTCATTCTAAGATACAACTTCAATGAATAGTGTATGCTATATTTTAGAATACTTTTACTTATTCTCCTATTATCTTCAGAACAATCTTGTGAGAGAGATATGTTATCATATGTTATCTTCATATTACAGACAGGAACTGAGGTTTAGAGATTTGCATTTATTTACTGAAATGCATACAACTAGTAAGTGGAAATTCAGTTCTGAGAGAATGTTCTTGTCGTCACTGGATTTAAGAAGGGTAAACACATTGGTCTTATTTGTGCTGTCCTCTGATTTGCTACAATTTGTTATATAAGTACAAAATAGTACTGTAAGTCAAATTCACATATGACCTTTACAAAGATGGTGACTATTGGGCAGCAGTGATAGGGATAGAATAAATATCTAAAACACAAATATGATTTTGTGTTTGTATGCAAATAAAAGGAACACTTACAAAATGTATTGCGTCTGTCATTTAGTTACTTTGATGCAGTACTGCTTCTCAGCTATTCCAGTTTATTACCCATGCATCTACCTTTACCCCCAGCCTGTCACAACATTGTGTTTCCGTGAACAGATGAAGTGCTTACACATTCATAGACTGAGACGTAAGGAATTCAGTTGGGTTCTCTCATTGCTCCAAGCAGATTTCTGCCCTCTCAGCCATGACAACTCAGGCTGGGCTTTGAATACTGATGGCAAGCCTTTTTATTATTAACCAAGGATTCGTATGAATTAATTTAAGAACATGAGAGAGATGGGAACTTCAAATATGAATCAAACTTAACATCTTAAATGCTTTGTGACATTTGAAGCTCTAGCAAGTAAAACAACAACTTGGTAAGCTTTGATGATGAACTGAAGGTATATAACCTCAAAAATTAAGTTGTTGGCTAAATACTTTAAACCCTTATTGGTAAAAAGACATATTCCTACATAACAATTTTA